CTCTCTCTCTCTCTCTCTCTCTCTCTCTCTCTTTCCTTCTGAGTAGTTCACTCAGTATTCCTCTTGTCTGGGGCTGTTTGATCAGCTATATTGACTTGCTGATTCTGCTACAGAGTTCAGTCGGTACAAAGACACACATACACACACACACACACACAATACACACAAAGTAAGCGGTTAGAGAATGAATGCTGAGAGAAATATGACAGAGGGGAACTGCCAAAGACCTGAAGTCAGTGCTAGTGATGAAATATACCACACAGTGTAATTATTACAGTGCTAATGCAGCTCTGTAACACGAGTCACAGGTTATTTACTGCTGCACTAAGAGAGATTGGATGGATGCCAGCTCAAACTCAGAGTAAAGCTTGAAAAGGAGTAGTAAGGAGCATAGTCACAATGGGTAAAAGTAAATGACAAATACAGCAGCAACATTCTCATAATAAATGTGGGTCCTGCTTTCCACCAGGCACTGTAAAATTAGCAGATTGTTTGACATATTTAAAGAAGTCATAGAAAATGTTTCCTTCTAAGTATCACTATTTTTCCTGATTGACAGACCCTTGAAATACACAGGGGTGGGTTGAAACCTCTTGTTTTGTTAAGTCACCTTTTTTCTAGTATTTGTGAACCCTCATAACTTCATAAGACATTAAATGTTCAGTCCTGAAAAACACATTTAAGTTCTGTTTAAAAACTGGGACTAAATAAATTTTACACCCACTCCAGGTGTCACAGTCTTAAACCAAAATGTTTTTATACAATAGTTTCTGAAACAAGTACTAGAAACAAGCACTGGTTCCCTGAAAATTTTAACCTGTTTTTTTATATATATATTTTGCTGGAGAAAAGTTCAAAAATTGCATTTTGAATAAAGGGTCACATTATTATATGAGGCTGGGTGGCTGTTAGTGACTGACTTACCAAATGTACCATCATTTCATTCATGATTAAAAAATTTAAAATCCTGCCCTACTGGTGAACAGATAAAGTGCATGCTGAGGCTTTCCAAGTGGTTTAAATGTATTATAAGTTTATTACTGTAAGACAAAAATCACTGCCCCAACACTAACTCTGGTAAGTGTTATTAGGAAAAATCACTAATAACACATTTGCAAAATGACATCACCAAAAGGCATGCTGGGTAATGCTAACTAGCCAGGTAACTGTTGGGAAGAGGTTGGTGAAGCATTCAAAACAGTGAAGACAGATGGAGGATGTAGAAGTGCAGAGAGTTAAATCTGCTGTTATATCTGCTCACAAGCACAGGTTACCAGGTAATGCAAAGTTAGCACAAGGTTTGGAAGAAATTGGAGTTGGTTTCATACCCACATCGAAGCGCTAACAAACTAGATATTTGTTGAAAAACAGCAAAGTGTCATTATATCTAAGCTAGAAGTACATCAGACAGGCTGTTAAGTTGCGACTCTATGTTACTGTCCAGGGTGCACCCACCTTGGACAGGTCACCCTGGACTTGCCCTGCCAAAGCTGGGACAGGCTCCAGCCCTGAATTGGATAAACACAGGAAAATGAATAGATGGATGAAAAAAACCCAGTGCTAATCATTTAAATGCCAAACATAATGTCTTTTTCTTGCAAAATGTGAGCACTCATCTTACAATGATCCAATAAAATATGATTTGGGACATTAAACTAACCTTAGTGATAACTGTTGGCTTGCATTTGGCAGAGGCTGGGAAAGATATCATAGGTGGAGGAGTGCGTTTGGATTTTAGGTGGCAAAAACTTTGCTCACAACTGTTGAGTCCTTTATCCTCCTCCTACTTCTTTTTTCTACAGCTCAGTATCAGTCAGTTTGTGCTTCTTACATTCAAGTCATGCCCACTTCTGAGCAATCCACCAACCTAAAGTCATATTTTTATGACTTCAACTGATGCTAGAGATTATCTAACTTCTGTTCCAGCCAGACTTTAAGTGGTATATGGAAAATGTGGGGGCTGGAGCCATGCTGACCAGAAATTGATGAGTGTATTAAACTGCCATTACATGTGGAGGACTGCGATGACTACATTTGCAAACAGTCAATGTGTAGGGGACTCCCCCTTTCAAAGATGCTGATTAAGAAAGAAGTCTCTCTCTGTAACACACTGAAGCAGAAAAAAGCAACCCACACAAGCTACTATGTCAGACACACTCAAATGTGACACTTAATGCAGTAAATGCGCCTCCAGATCAGTGTGTTTCTGTATGATATGATTTGACTACAGCTGATGCACGGAAGCTCGCAGGTGTGAATGAATAAGAAGGAAAGTAGTGCATGCATGTTTAACAAACCTCTGCAGATTAGAGAGGGGAGTTTTTTTAATAGGTGAACAGATAATCAATCATTCTTCTGCAGTTTAAAGCACAAAACACCATCAGGCTTTAAGTACAGTACTCACAGGAAGCAGCTGTTTGCGTTTCCTGCTGGGACGACCCACTCTGCGCTTGTTGCGGGGGCTCGCCGGTGTCCCCTCCTCTGGACTGTCCTGGTCTGCACCATCTTCACTCTGTGAAATTACAGAGAACCCACATCAAACACTCAACGAAGGCTGTATGAAGTTATAATTGATGTCAGCAGTAAGACCGCATTAAAGCAACACTGACTAAGGGCAATGTGGCTAAGAAGCTCTTCAGGGCAGAAGTTGAAAAACAGGATGTAATGAGCACAGGGCACCATAGCAGTATTAATAACTAAGTTGTTTCCTGGTTTTAAAAAAGCCGCTATTCACAGATTCTATGTTTTTTTTTCCCTTTAAAGAAAAAGGAAAAGAGATAAACACGCTACTGAAACAAGGAATTTAAAGTTTGACCATGTCCTGATTGAACAAAGCAGTTCTATATCTATAAATGAGCCCAATGTGAAAGCGAAAACCAGTAAATTACATGGTTGCAGACATGAACTCCAGCTGTGACGCAGACAGGATGTTGTACTACCAGACCTGCTCATGATTGATCTAAGCATGGACACAGAGCTCCAGAAGGCTGTTATACTAAGCCACTTTATTGCCATCTAACATTCACTGTGCTTGTTGTTTTTTAACTACATTTAGTAAGTAATTTTATTTATTCTGCTTTTTTAATTTATTAAACAACTTTTCTTTATAGTGCCACTTTATTGTTATATATTTAGCTTTTTTTTACATTGCATTTTGATGTGTTTTGTTCCAAAATTTACCCTTTGAGAGCCTTTATTTTAGTTACATTACTATTTAATCAATCTTTTGAGCAATTCTTACCATATGTAACTGTGTGTTGAGTCGTATTTTTTGTCATTCTGTTAACTTTTTCCAAATATTTAAGATGTTCTGTCAGAGGTGTAGTTCTTTTAAGAGCTGCTCACCTAGATACTGCCATGAAGAGGTAGAAAAAACAAACAAATAACCACAAAGGGAGAATGTAGAAATAAAACTTCTATACATTCACTTTCCGCTTTTTATCAAGCTCACAAGAGGCACCAGTCTAACCAGAGATGCCGAGACCTCCCTCTCCCCAGGCATATCCTCGAGCTCTTTCAGGAGGAAACCAAACTAGGCAAGAGACATAATCTCTCTAGCGTGCCCTGAATCTGCACTGGGCTCTCCACCCAGATGAATATCTTAGAAACACCTAGGAGGCATGTAGTAAGTGTCGTGTTCACATGTCTGAATCATCTCAACTGGCTCCCTTTGATGTGAAGGAGCACCCTGAATATGAAAATGACCAAGCCCTCGCTCACCTCTAAAACTGAGCCCAGGCATCTGTTAAAGGAAGCTCTTTTCTGCTGTACCTCAAATTTTTGATTACTACCCACAAGTTCATTGAGACCTTTGCTTTAACACGCTGCTGCCTCTTTTGACCACAACAGACCAGTACAGCATCTACATGACAACAGGCCTGTCAGTCTCTCTATCTGCCCAGAAACTCAATACAAACCTCGAAACTAGGGCTGGGCAATATATCGAGTTTTTTAAAAATATCGATATATTTTTATACGAGATATAAGATGTGACCATATCCTTCATATCGATATATACGTTAATTAGTTGTGGAGCCATAAGTTTGCCTCTCTTTCGTCCACTTTTGTCTCTACGCAACATTACTCGGCCTTGCCTCTCTTTCACTGAACACAACTCCCCCTCCTCCCCCATCGCTTCACCTGCAGGCAGCGACAATATGAACACGGCAAATCTCCGTTAACGAGTTACTGCACATCGCTCCGTGCGTGGGGCTGGACAGCGTCAACGTGTTAACGAGCTAACCATGCTAACGAGCTAACCACACTAACGCCATGCAGCCCACAGGGGATGCGCAGCCTAAAATCCTTTCATTTTCTCAAAAGTTGACAGCGCACCTTATGTATGAATTCTGGTTTTGCTTGATGACCGCGAACCGATTTTATGTGGAACACGGCGCTCATCAATCTGTCAAAAAATGTTTTAGTACGACTTTGGTAAGCTACGGAGCTGCACCGCTTGATGGATTGTCCGAGGAGCCTCGCGTAGTAATACGCACTGTGCTTCAACGTAATATTACCATATTGTGTGTGTATAAGGACCATAAATGGCACCTGAAGCGGATTTCAAACTGCAGGCTGTCATTCACGCAGTAGAAGTTGGGAACAGAGCAGCTGTGAAATCGGTCTATGTTATTATGCTCAGCGTCTTTTAGTTTACATTTTGACTGCACAATTGTGAGCTTTTTGTTATGGACAACAACAACATATTTTTCGTTTATTTATGGAGCATTATTATTTAATAAATGCTCATAATTTATTTTTGAGTAGTTTTTTTCATGCACATCTATGCTGTATGTTAATAAAAGTGCCTGTGTGACATCTGGGACACAGCTTTGACTAAGAACTCTCTTTTTGTTCTTACTTTATGGCTTTAAAAAAATATCGAGATATATATCTTATATCGCCATCCAGCTAAAAAATATCGAGATATGAATTTTGGGTCATATCGCCCAGCCCTACTCGAAACCTTCCCGATGTAAGCTGAAGGTCTTTACTCAATGAAGCTAGGCGGACTACAACATCTGCAAGATACAGAGACATGACTATGACCCCATCAAACCTGACACACCCCACTACTTGGCTGCACCTAAAATATCTGTCCATAAAAATTATGAACAGAAACAGTGACAAAAGGCAGCTCTAGAGGAGTCCAAAGCCCAACAGGAAAGAGTCTGACTTATTCCCAGCAATTCAAACAGAGCTCTAACTACAGTTATACTGAGATTTATTCCCTCGTAACAATGGGACTGATATTCCACTCCCAAACAGGACACCCCAAGAGATGTGGTCAAAGTCCACAAAACACATGTAGACTGGTTGGGAAAAATCCCATGCACTTTCAAATATCCTCAAGGGTGGAAATACAAAATATTTGTGATTTCAACAATAAAGAGGTTTCAACAGCTGAAGCCTTGTTTGTATGTGTCCCCCAACTGTTATTATGACCCAGCTCGGAGGTCGTAGCATTGAACAGTGATGTACCTTTGCCCCAGTTCAGCACATACTGTCACTGTATAGTCTACAGGCATCGAAACTGATGTCCTACACAAGTTCATTAGATCAATTTCACGCTGTGTTTCTTGCAGAAAACAATGCAAAAATCCCAAAGCGTGTAGGCGCCTTTATCTGAACCAAAATCAATTAATTTAGGCTGTTGGTAGACCTGAGTTGTAGACTAGCAGTGGTGTAATTTGCAAAAATATAGGGAATAAAAATAGCTTGCTGCACCTGTGTGTGCTGGGTGTTAAAGGACACCACAGCGCTCTGTGTGACGATGAGCTGAAATGAAATTTGTCCACATTAATTTCTCTTTTTTTATATTACACCAAACAACACTTCTACAATGTCCTTATGGTGAAAATGTTGGCAGCTCAGTGGTGTGACAACAGTGGCTTTCCTCGGACTTAGGTATGCAATTTAACTTGGTATGAATTGCAACTTCAAAAAATCCCAATGATTCAAAATTGTGATACACGAAAGTGTGAAACAGTCATGCAGCGTGCTCCGAGAGGACAAAAAGACACCTCAGGCTATGGACAGCGAAACTCTGCTGTGATAAATGAAAAACAGATGGAGACATGCAACACATTCAGCACTGAAATTACAAAATAATTATGTCACAATAAAGCGCACATTAACTTCTAAATGTTGTGAAGTTTCTTTAAAATAGGAAACCACAAATGTAATGTTTCTGTTAATCGAGATAAATGAGACAACATCGGGGACTGCTGAGGCACTTAAACTTTATGAGGCTATTTGCCACGACTAAATCAGTAAAACAAGTGAAAGAAGCCAATTTTATGATGAGATACATGGTGAAACTGTTATGTGGATTGTCACATCTGGATTCTTTTAGACTGGATATAGGTCCAGTGAACTGCGTTTGCTTGGAGTCTGTTGTTTGACAGTATTACTATAACAGGTATTTACAGATTCTATAAATTAAACATGCTGAATGTGATGGGGAAATAACAGCTTTGTTTATCTCATTAGTGTTACCTGTGTTTAGTCTGCCACACCTGTCTCCCATTAGTCTCCTAAGTGAATATACCTCCTTTTTTAACCGCTTTTTTACTCCTCAATGGCCAGAGGAGTTGTCTTGTGCTTTTCCCAGTCAAACTTTCAAGGCATGTTCCTCATTTTTCTAGTATAACTCACTGTTTTCCAGCTTTTGTTGCCTACTAATCCTTTTGTGTATAATGCTTTGAACTGCTTCACAGTCTTTGTCTGTCCTTGCCTGCTGCTACTGGATGGTTTGCCTCACTGCCTGTTTCTGGATTAAAGATTCAGACTGTGTGTCTTTATCTCTACTCTGCATTTTTCCTGAATTTGGGTCTTTCCCTGTGTAAAATATCATTATGGGAAACTGCCCAGGAAGAGATGTTCGAGAGGTCCAACTAAATGGTTTTGGTTTGGTTAGGCTTTAATCACACAGGCCAAAAGACCCTTGCAACCTCTGGCCACTACATTCAGAAAAATAAAGGTGCCAACTGGAACCAAAAGTGGTTCTTTAGACTGATGCCATAGAAGAACCTTATTTGGTGCCACAAAGAACCTTTCAAACAATGGTTCTTTAAAGAACCAGACATCTGAAGAACCATTTCAGAACCATAATTTTTCTGAGAGTAGGGAAAAATGTGTATTACAGGACTGATTGCTGGCAGCTGCTTGCCATGGCTAAGGGAAATCAGTCACAAAGAGGGCACTGCATCAAAAACCTTGTGATTGCTTTGGTTACTAGCAGATTGCTATGGAAGATGCAGACTTGTCTGCAAACATTAGCTAACTACTAAATTGGAAAAGTGCAACTCAAATCCGAGATGGAGAATGTTTGCTTTCAAAGGGAAATTTCTACCTCACCACTCTAGCAAACATTTCAAACATATCACCCATGTTTCTATCTCGTATGTATCTGGGAGTGTTCAAAAGGCAACAATTTTACTTTGAAGGCAGTTGGTTCTTTTACAGTTGCACTACTGCTTGGTGAGAAGTTTGCAGACAAGTCAACATCAC